ATTCTAGTGAGGGTCCCCAGGTACTACCCGTGTTTCCTAAATAAAGGGCCTTAAATGCACATGAAAGGGTATCGTGTTGCCCAGGAACAGAGGTGAAGATACTTTTGTTTAATCCACAGACTGTTTGGTCAGAGGAATAGGTAAAGCTACATAAAAGCCCATGGGGTGGAAATTCACAGCAATGAGTGTTGACAAGATGCGCCCAGATCTCGCGCGCAGCATCTGGCAGTGGGCAGCCGAGCAAAGGTGGGATTCTCACGCACTGTCCTGTGTGCGCTCAGGAAATGCCTCCGTGGCAGTGGTGCTAGCGTTTGCGGTCGAATTCAAGACTTCTCCAAAGTCACCGCCGGCAGGCTTGGGTCCCCCTACTTTAGACTTGAAAACAAGTTCAGAAAGGAAAAGACATCATAAACTTAAAGACATAATAAAACATAAACTTAGCTGACTCTGCATAAAGTCAGTCCAATTTTTGGACTTTGAAGAGCAAATAAATTAGGAACACTATAGCTGTGATTATTGTATAGGTAGGGAATTCAGTACCGTTGTAATGTTTAGTGCACTTTAATAGAAAAACGCAGTCTTCCTGCTGAAATAGGTTGGTAAATTCTGCCCCTCATTCCCTAGCCTCCCCCCCCCCCCCCCCCCCCCGCATCTGCTCATTGTCCTCAGGGAGATTTGAAGAATTCTATAAGGTCTGTGATTCTAAAACACGGATTGGATTCTCTTAATATTTGGGTAACTTTGTAGTCCAACAGAGTGAGCATTCAGCCACACTCACTCATGAAATATAATTGAGTAGGACAATGGACAGCAACCAAGGAAAGCAATATGTATTGTTACAGTGTCAGCTTTCTAACCCATTGTTACTTTAGTGTGGTGCGATGAACTGCAGACTCCATGTCACCTGGGAGCTTGTGAGACATGCAGTCACAGACCTGCCTGCCCCCCTCCACCTGCAGAACTGAAATCTACACTTCAATAAGCTCTCCTGGTACTTCCCACACACCAATTTACCTGGCCTGAAATTGTCAATAAACACGTGTCTGAATGAATATATCTGCCTTACATTTGTACAATATTTTATGCTTTCACAGTCCTTGCACATGTCACTTCATGCTTAACAACACTGATGTATCTATGCTCTCTCTGTTCCAACTCAAATTACTGACCAAAAGGACAGGTGACTAACAGTAAGAAACCAGTCAGTGCAATCACAGTAGGTCTAACTTGACCTTGATCTTAGCTCAATCTTCACTGGCCAGAGACTCAATTACAACTGCACTCTAGTTGAAAGTTTCTCTCTCATTCTCTGGTTTTCCATCCAAAATCTTTTGAATTGTTTGAAAAATTTGCATAATTTTTATATTTCTTAAATTTTAAAAACACTCCTAATTATTTAAAAAAATTTTAAAACTTCTTATAATTCAGCGTGTCTAAAACTGAACTCCGCCCCATCATAAGTGGTCCCTTTTCTATTCTTTTTTAAGACTGAATGGCAGCCGCACCTACCTAGCTGTCCCAGTCAGGTCCCTGGTAGTTATCCTTGACCTGTCTCCCTCCTGTTCCACATCCAATCGATCACTAACTTTTTGTCATTTCTTATTTCGAAACATCTCTCGACTTTGTCCCACCGGCGCTACCTTAATTCACTACACTGTCGTTTTGGGCCTGGATTATAATTCTGAACAGTGTTTTGTTTTTCTTCCCTGCTTCTGTCATTTAAAAAGGATGCACTTAAAAATAAATGACTCACTTACCATTCTGAAAGACTGACTACATCTGCATTTTTAAGTTGATTTATGTAAAACACTTAAGATCTTAGTTTTGATCCTTAANGTTAAAGTGAAAGATACTACCCACTTAAAAATATCCCAACAACAAAATTGTGTTTGGTTTTTACTGTGTGCCAGGAAAACCGCCACATTAAAATAACCTCACTGCCAGCCAAACTGAGCAACATCAAAATGTCCTATGAGAGTTGGCAAGAATTTTAGTTGCCAAATAGCATTTATCTAAGTATGAAATCCTGTCAGGTGACAGGCACATGCAGGCCTTGCCCTCTGGTGGCTTACAAACTATGAGTGAGTTATTGTGGCTTATTTTGATTTGAGTTCAGAACAATACAAAAATAGTGAAATGTAAGGTTTGCAGGTTTACTTAAAAGTGATAATGCTTTATATTAACTATAACCCAATATGGTCTCTATAATTAATCCAGTGACAATGGGACAGTCACTAATTAATGGCCAAATGTCCCCTCACTAAGGGTAAAAATCTGATTTTGCATCTGGGTCTTAAGAACTATGGAGAAACATGTGATCCTGCCATACAGCCTCATGTAGCGTTTGTAAGTGACAACAAATAGTCACTTACAAATGCCCTGAGGTGGTCAGCATGTGGCCTCCTCAGCTTTGTTGATACACTGAATCTATTTAGCTGCTTATGGTTTTTTCCACATCCAGGACGTGAAGGGTCAGGAGAGGAATAGTCCTGCCTTTCCTCAACAGACAGGCAATACACACAAAAGGACCCATGCCCAAATTACAGAATTTTTATTGTTTTCAAATCCTATACAAAAGAAAAATAGTGTGCATTTCTTGATTAACAAATCCAGAAATAGTGTTTGCAAATTAAACATGCCTTTTCTTTTTTTCAATAGTTTCTTTGAGTTTCTAAGATGATAATCCAGTGAGTTCCACTCTCTTCCATTGATTACTTTGTTCTCATGAGCATAAGAATTTTTGCTTATTTCCCACAAACTCCATAAACAAAGGCCATTCATTTGTAAGAAGGGGACAGTCTCGGGTTATTTTCTTCTCTGACACTTCCAGAATCTTTGAATATCTATGAGTTTGCTCTCAAGTTGCTGTTTTCTTATAGCATCAAACAGAAAACACAATAGAGTGTTAACTGTGAGTTCAAAACGTTGACTCTTCCACAAAGACCATTTTGAATAATATTTCTAAATCCACGTGTATTTTTCTAAATTCATCCTCTCTACTGTTGACTACTTCTTTTAAGAGGCAGAGTACTTTACAATAGATTAAATCATTTTTAGATTAAGTGATTTCTCTGATTCTTTTACAGCGATCACCAACACCCACAAACACCCATCCCATTTTCCACTCCTATTTCTATTGAGTTGTCGGAAAAGTCATGACGTATTTTTTCTATGTTTTTTCTATGTTGCAAAAATGTGTCATGACTTTTCCGACAACCCAATATTATTTATCCCCATAAACTAAAGAGATTTGAGGATAGTTCACTCAACTAAAAAAATTGCCATCTTACTCCATTTTGCCTTGTTGAAAAGATAATAAAAGGGCAGGACGCTCAAGAAACAATGTGATAAAGAGACGCTGTGATAAAAAATTGAAAGACTACATAGTTGGTAGAAAAATATAACTTAACAGTTATGCTGAGTAACCACAACATTTCTATTAAAAAATTTCTACAGCTCCACTCCTTTGGGACAATGCTTCAATGACCTTTGCCTTAAGTCCTCTCTAAAGAAATAATCTATGTTAGTCTGATTTCATGAAGCAGTGTGTTAAAGCAGATGACTTTAAAAATGCCTTTTTTTAAAGCATAGGACACCAGTTGATTATTCAGTACAACAAGCTGTTTCCAGACCACTGGTCTCATAATGAATACTGAGCACCCCCCTCCCATGATTTTCTCCCTTTCCTCCCGACCAATGTTCATTCCCAGAATTTTGCTCCCATGCTTCAAAACCGAACCAAACACCATATTTAAGAAGTGTTTACGAATTTAAGCTGTCCATCCATCTTCTATCCAGTAATTTTATATTAATTAGTCATGCAATTATTTATGTGTAATTAGTTATTTTGAGGGGAGGTGAAATGCACTCTTTCCAATTCATTGGCATGGTACGTTGAAAGAAGGAATTTTTTTGTATGACCACAGTCCGTTTTAATAATTCCATTGACTATGGATGTTAAGTCTTCAAAACAAAATACAGAGCACTAGAAGTACAGTAACCTTGGAATGGTGAGTAATTGTATGCATGACATACATACAGAGACTTATAACCCACTGTAAGGCCATCCTTACAAATTCAGTAAGGGGCTCCAGATAACGCTCCCGATGAAATCGCCCCTCGTGGCACTTAAACCATTTACTTTTGATGTGGTCTTGTTAAGACATTGTTGCATTGTTCTATATGGCTGTTGCTACTTCTAGTTCTCTTCAAGGAAAAGTGTGGTAAATTATATTATAATGAGCATTGGCAGGTGACCTTAAGAGCCCTTAATTCTAGTCCCGACTCTAACTAATCCTGACCTCAAGCAAGCGAATTTAATGTTAATTTGGCTTCCTCATTTGTAAAACCAAATTGGTAGACCGTGTGTTAAATTAAGAAAGTGCCGTGTGAAGTTAACTATTAAATATATCAGTAGCAACAGGATTACTAACACCCCAGCTCTTAGAATTCAGTAGATGTATGATGATGTTATCCTACCTCAGCCAGATGGCAAATTCCTTGAGGATTGTGACAACAGGTATTTTGGGACAAATCATAGTTTTTAACATATGAGTTTGTTTCAGCCGACTTCAAGTTATGCTTAATTCTCTGCCTTTGGTAGAGCCTCCGACGCATCAGTGAG